TGCTGAACCATGATACATCTTCAAGCTGCCCAAATCTAACACTTGTATGGATGGCAAGCAACTATCTTCTTTATAAGAAAAGCCATTGTTTTTTCTACCTAGACTGTTGAATTCGTGAAGACACCAACCTAATTTATCTTTGCTAAGCTCCTGAAGCATCTACTGCTATGTGTCCTCACATAGGGGGGAAGCCTCCCCTGGAGGACTGTACTTGCCATCTGGGAGACTAAGGAGTGTGAACGTGGGGAGGAATGGGGTGGGGGAGGAGACGGAGGAGGCGAAAGGCCATGCTTGCTTAATCCTTGCCATCTAGTTACACCACAAAGCCAGGAAACAACTGGCATGGAATTAAAAGATAAAGGACTCTAACAAAAGGACATATTACAAAGTGGAAACTATTACAAGGTGCCAGGGAAGGGGCTAGCTAGCACTTGAAGGTGGCGCCTGCAGGTTGGGTAGGGACTGGAGGCAGCTCAGACGGTCACCCCAGAGGCAGAACTGGCAGGATCTTGCTGAGGGGGGCTGGCAGAGGGCCCCCCAGGTGACAGTTCTGCTGACCCCTCACTCACCTGTCACAGAAGGTCACTGTGGGTCTGCATCTCACCCCTAGATGGTCACCGTGGAGAGGAAACTGGCCCGCAAGCAGGTAATCCCCAGGGAGGCTGAAGTCAGAGGAGGACGCGGTGCTGGGGCAGCTGAAAGCCCAGCAGCAGGAGAGTGAAAGCTGCAGGCCGATGAAGCGCGCCCCCCAGAGTAACATGCTGGCCAGACCTCCCTGCACCTGGCATGGCCGCACGGCGCCCTGGGACCAGGCCGGGCCGTTTAACTAGAATGGTCGGCAGCTGCCCATGCTTCCCAGTTTCATGCCTTCGAAAGGGGTGGGACTGGAACCCAGTTATAGGAAGCGGGCTGTTTGCCTCCACCGTCTGGGGCTGCAGTCCTCCTCAGGAGCCGGGCAGGGTAAAGGCACAGGTGCAAACCAGGTGGCACCCACTGGCCCTTCCTCTGGACGGTTGTGGGTTCTGTCCTTGCACTGCTGCCTGTGGCTTCACCTGGCCCAGAAAGGGAGCCCTGGTATTTGGGGGCGGGCAGAGGAAGGCTGGAACACATCTTCTCTGGGGGCCTTGAGGAACAGGGTGTGGAAGGTTGCTCTCTGGGAGCTGAGGATTTTAAAATCTTTTACCTGGGCCTCAGTTGACCCCGTGAGACAAGGCTTTGAGTTAAACTTGCAACTCCACACACACACACCCCAGTCCTCAGTATCCTGAAATTGAAATTCTGAGTAAATCATCCCGATTTCGCCTTGTTATAAACAGGGTTGCTCCCTTCAGCTCAAAGACAAATGCATGCAAACAGACTGGTTTTGTTTAAAACTTCAATCCTGGAGCTTTCTCTGCAGGAAAAAAAAAAAATCCTAGTTGGATTTCCGGAGAGGTGGCCTTGGACTCAGGGTATCTGACTTTCCCTCTCCAGGCGGCCGGGGTGGGGCTTTTGCATAATGTAAATGGAGCCTTCGTTGGGACACCCGGTCCGGGTGTCGCCCCAGGCGGCCCCCAGATCCGCCCCACCACCGACCGCGAGAGGGCCAGAGCCTCCAAGGAGCCAGGTGAGGCCCGGGGTCGCTGCCGAGGCCGCCGGCAGAGGGCGCCCGCGGCTCCCAGGCCGCTGGACGGGCCGCGGGGCGGAGTGACGGGATCTCGCGAGATTGTCGAGCAGCAGGCGCCGGTGGGCAGCATGGCTGACTCGCTGCTGCTGTTTAAGAGGGGTCCTTCTCGCTCCACGTGGCTGCGGGCCCGCAAGGCCCGGCCGCACCTCATCCTCAGCTACCGGCCCTGCCGCCGGCTCGGGAGGCTGCGCTGGCGCAGCCGAAGGCGCTTTCGGCGGCGACTGCTGCAGGCCCAGGCGGCCGGCGTGGACTGGCGGGAAGGCGGCTGCCTGGTGTCGCGTGCGGCGGCGCCCCGGAGGCCCAAGACCGCGGCCCCCAGTCCCCGCCCGGCCGAGGATCCGGCCCCGAGTTGTTCCGCGATCCTCCCCATCCCGCCTGTGCGATCGGCCGGCTCGGGCCGCGCCGTGTTGCTGCTGCCGCTGGGGCAGGTAGGTCGCGCCCGGGGAACCGGGAGGGCAGAGGGGGAGGGGTAGAGACGCAGCCCCGGGAGCTGCAGGCTGGGAGAGGCCCGTGTCCCCCTGCGGGTTCTTTGGACGCATTCCTCGGGCGGTGGTGCTGGGCAGAGCGTGATAAGGACCCTCCCGAGGGAATTCTAAGTCTTCGGGGCTGGAGGGACTTTAATAGTAATGATAATAATAGGTTGCATTTACCGAGTACTTAGAAATGTCAGGCTCTAAGTGTTCTAAGTATTTGGGGCATATGAACCCATTTAGTACTCATGCATGCTCTACGGAGTCATTACCGCTAGGAATGTTTACAGAAAGAATATAGCTTAGGTAACTTGCCAGAAAGTTATACAGCAGAGGTAGAGCCAGCAGTCAAACCCTGGCAGCCTGATTGCAGGGCCCCTGACGTTCACCTGCACGTTGGTCTGGGAGGTCCGCCGCAATACAGGAGGGAGGTGAAAACCCAAGAACGGGAGAGACTCGGCAGGCGCTGGACATTTGTAAGAACAGGGAGCCATGAGTACAGCAGAGCTGAGTTCAGGGGGCCCCCCCTGGGTCAGTGTTCACCAGACTCTGTCCCTGTAGCTGCCGTAGGATATGATCTTAGGTTAAAAATATTAATATTTTAATCTATTAGTTTAAAATACTAGATAGTCACCTACAAGGTATTCTGTTACTTGGAAATCAGTCTCCTTTTGATGTCTGAGTAGCCAGTTAAGATCTTAGAAGTTTTCTGTCATTGGTAACAGAATCTGTAACCTTATTTCTTCCTTTATTTTTTCTTTCCCTCTAGGGCTTTACTTTTAGCGGGATCTGTCGTGTGACCTGCCTCTATGGCCAGGTGCAGGTGTTTGGTTTTACCATCAGCCAAGGCCAACCTGCCCGAAATGTCTTCTCTACCTATACCCACTCTCGCCTGACTATCAATGCAGTTCATTACTCAGTGCATGAGAAAAGCAAGAAGGAGATGAAAAGGGAAGCCCGAAGTTTGCTCAGATCTTATCTGAACCAAGGTAATGAAAAAAACTGCATGATTCACTAAGGATGTAACATAATAAGGTGAATAATTTTTTTTTTTTTTTTTGGCTGCGCTGCCCGGCACGTGGGATCTTAGTTCCCCGACCAGGGATTGAACCCGTGCCCCCTGCATTGGAAGTGCAGAGTCTAAACCCCTGGACGGCCGGGGAAATCCCAAGGCGAATAATTTTCAGATGCTTACTATGGCCTAGAACTTGTACTCTTTACTGTATCTATTTAAACTCTCACCAGGGTCTTGAGAGGGAAGCTACTGTTTTCACTATTTTACCAATGAGAAAAGTTGCCCAAGGCCACACAGCGTTTAGGTAGGAAACCTGGGTTGACTTCTCTGCCCAGGTGTGCTCCTATCATGCAACATGGCCTCCTGGAAAAGTCTCTCAAACATAATTCCTAGTCTCCAAAAGTTTGGAATTCCGCAGAGCAGAGGGAGGTCCTAAAGGGCATAGAGTTTAACGGCGTGCTATTTCTAAGGTAGTTTATGTCTCTCTTTACAGATGACAGATACTGTTTGATGAAGAATTTTTCTCCTCTGTGTTCCATTGTGTTGCTGGAACGTCTGAAAACCTCCACTGTGAACTTCATAATCAGCCATCCAGGCTTATCGTACGTTTTCGTACAAGAGGTAGAAACGGTTTTCATTCAGGGTTTTGCTAATTACTTTTCACCAAAACAGTCAGGTGACTGTGTAGGATGCACCCTTGGAAGACCGGTCCGTCTGTCACGTTGTGCTGTAAGTCGTACAGAACGTGGCGTGTGTCTAAAGTGAAAGTAGTCCGTATAGAAGGGCTATACATCGTGAAACTTGTCTCTTCTATACCCCCCTCAGCTTCACTCCCCAGAGAAAGTCATCGTTTTCTACTATAGTTGGTTAAATGCCTTTTGATGTTTCTTCAGTGGTTATCTTTATATCGTTGTAGATGGTTATCTTTATATTTTGATTTACTAACTTGAGACAGTATGAGTTTTCTCTAAACTCCGAATGAGAATGAGTAATTTCAGTGTACTTACACTTTATCCCATCTCTCTCTTCACCTCCAAATGTTTGCTGCCCTTAGTATTAATTTCCTGAAGGTGGGTCGGTCACTATAATTGTCTCCCACGAGCCAGTAGGCTGAGTCAACTCCGTAGGAACATCAGACACTGGGTGTGAGGTGTGAGTGCTTGGGTGCACGGAGACGGGGCGCCGTGGGAGGAGACTTAAATCTGTAGCTTAAAGGTGCCTCTTGGACATTCAGCTGGAGATGTCAAGTGGGAGGTTCAGTGTGTGAGTCAAGTTCAGAGAGGAGGTTGGGAATGTAAATTTGGGAGCTTTCGGCAGAAAAGGGTTCTGGAGCCCATGAGACAGGATAGTAACGCCAAGGAGTTGATACAGGTAAAAACGAGAAGGTTCAGGGTCTGAGCCGGGAGCAACAAAGACCGAGCACAGCAGGCGGGCGTGGTCGGGGAGCCGCTGGAGGACGCGCGCGGAGGCCCCGCTGCAGCTGATGGTGAGATGAGGCCTGAGAAGGGAACTTGGGTGCAGAATAACCATCTGGACAAGAGTGGTTTCATTGCATTGCTGAGGGGGCTGGCCTGACTGGAATGGGGTCAAGACCTGGGGAAGAGCG